GTTCTAGAAAATATCTGCATCCCTGTGAGGACTTTTCAAAGAGATGGTGATTTAGGACAATGAATAATCAGTGAAGAAAAGGAAAGGGATTTCTCAGAACAGAATCATACAGTGAAGATATTAAAATGAAAGAAGTTTTGTGCCCCAAATGTATTCCCTAGGCCTTGTTCAACTGCAGCACAACATTATTATTATGGTATGTGAGGCTTGCCAGTGGTTTATGCCTTACTGAGAATTACTTTACTCAGCTGCGGCCTTGTATGGTGAGGAGTCCTTTCGACTCACCAAAAAGAGAGAGAAAAAAAAGTCCTGTTGTCAAGAGAACCTGGAGTCCCTCCAAAAGGTGCCCCACTGATTCAAAAGCCAGACACTCCCTTGTCAACAAAGGCATCTCACGGCTAAAAGTCTGGAGGGCAAATTGCACTTGGCTCATTGCTAAGTCTTAATCATAGACCCTATTTATTCGATTCTTACTGACATTAATGTGAAGTATCAGCAATTTTGCTTCTCAGACAGAATCCATGGATTTAATTTTGTCATTTTTTTTAGTTGTGCAATCAGAAATTCATTCATAGGAGGAAAAATCAGTTAATACCTATGGAAAAATGCAAAAGAAAGCCATTGTCACACTGATTGCTTTTTGGCAAAGGCTGAGTTCAAGATTTACCAATGAAAGCCCAATTAAGTGTCACCTGAGAGAATGTTAGCAGAGCTAAAGAGCATTACCAAGCCCAAAGACTGGCATTCCAGTTACCTTGTAAGGTATTTCAGAGAAAATTACATCTACGTAAACACAAGGCTGTGTATCACTACATTGGTAAAACAGTAGTTTCTAAAACAGCTTTACTCTGATTTCTGAAGCCACAAGAAAAAAGAAAAGACAACAGAAAGCAAGTAATTTACCTTTTTAGGAAGTGATCTTGAGCAAATGTTAGTTGAATCTTCTCAAGGAACATCTGGCTTGGATTCAGCTACCCAGGGCAGAACAAAATAAGTGAAAGGCCTTTAGATCAGGTGTTTCCCAGGATGGAATTTAAATTCAGCTTCTTTATCCTGCCTGCTCTTTAATCACCTATCTTAGATCAAACTTTCTGGCTCCAGGTTTAAAAGCATCTTTAGAATCAAGGTGCTCACATTTAGCCCCTTTCTCACTTTCTCCTTTCTTTTTACTTCCTGTGTTCTTTGTGTATGTATCCATCCCCATTAGAAGATTATAATTACATTTGAAGACAGGGCCTATGTCTTATTCATCTTTGTACGTCCCTTCTTCAACCCTCGTCTGATGTGTTTGCACATATACACTTTTCTTTTGTTAAAGAAAAATAAATAGAGTTAGAGGCAAATACAAATTCTCCACTGTTTTAACTGCTACTGAGAAAATTATAGGAGTATTAATTTGTGAAGCAGTCAACTTCCTTTTTTAATAGAATGAGTAGTAGATGAGGATATTTATATTTCAAGTGCAGATAAAATTTGCCTCAAAGGATTTTGATATGTTTTTGTCTCTAAAAGGAGCAACAGCCTTTTTGTGATGTACATGTCAAGATAAATCTAGAAAGGGCCAATGGAGTTATTTTATTTAAGGAGAATAGCCTCTGTGGTAACTATCAATACCTTAAAGTTTCTATATCTTATCAGTAAACTGAATAAAATGCTCTTTTCTTTATAGCTGCTGCTAATGGAGTTGGACTCATGAGTGAGGGAGAAAGTGCCTGTGAATGACATCATTATACATCATACGACAGTTTTTTTCTTTCTTTTATTCACTTGTCTTTCTTTTATCTCAACTGATGGTATACCATACACAGTCTTCTAAGCCTTGCTTTTTTTCTTTGAGAGTCTTCTATGTTAGTTCATAAAGAGGTGCCTCTTGCTTGTTAGGGGTTGTATGGAAATGTGCAAGTTAATAAGCTGTTGCATGTCAGTTCCAGTCTCACCCTTCAGACTCTGAAAATCACATGGCCAGCTCCTTGTTCTGTTTGCCAAGAAAGGAGGCTAGGGAAAGACTGGGATGCTCTGTTTTGCTTGCTGTTCCTCCCCGCAGCACCTGAACAGTGATCTTCTATCCCACAGTGGCAGTCTCCAGCTTTTCTCTTTTCCAGACGTTCCCAGAGGCAGTCTCATTTTGTCCCCTCAGAGGCACTCCATCCGTGGGGCAATGGCCCTTTCTCAGTGGTCTGACCAACTCCAGGAGGCCTCTCCTACAAACCTCCTCATTCTAGTAACCTCAACATTTTCCTTTTGTTCTCTCAGTCTTACAGTATGAGCTGCTTCCTGGAGTTCCTCTTCTTTCTCCTTTTGGCTTTAAGTTCTCCAATAACTAATGAACCAATAGCTTATATTAAGTTCTCTTTGTTGAAATGCCTAGTGTAGGATCTATTTTCCTAGCTGGACCTAACATATCCATGCAGGATCAGAAGGCCCAAAGGAGCAGAACAGTCTGCGCTACTCTTTGGATTTGGATGAACCGTAATCTATTTGACTAGTTCTCTCTAAATTGTAACTTTTGTAACTAGAAACAGTACATTAAACAACCTTAAATGAATATTTTTTTCACATATATGTGAGATTATCTGTAAGATAAATTTATAGAACAAGGACTCCTGAATCAAATTGCCAAAATGCCCTTCATAGAGGTTGTGCAAATTCAGTCTCTCACAAGCAATAGACAGAAATCTATTCATATGAGAAACAGAGAAATCAACGAAGGGAAGAGTGAGCCAGGTGTCATACCATTGTCCCAGTAAGAGGGCCTTAGCTAGTGGAAAGGAGAAGCACAGCATGAGATCTGTCACTTGAGGAATTACTTTTTGGCTTAGACTCCATGAACTTCATTTTGAGCCCTTTGGCGATGAGAAAGGCTAAAATACAAATGAAAAGAAGGTTCTGTAAGATATAGTGTTACTCACTTCAAAGAGGGTAACACAAAAAGGAGAGGTGCTTTGCCAGAGATTACCACCAATGCCAGGCAATTTGAGGAGTGGCTGTGCCCAGTTGCTATGCCCAGACTCAGTACCAAGCTAAAGTGACTGTGATAGCCAGCAGCAAGAGTGACACCTACAGATGCATGGTTATTGGAACAAGCGGCAGTGCTGCCCAGCATATGCTATGTGGTTGCTGCCAGCACATGTGAAACACCTCCTAGGGACTCCCCAAAAAATGGATGGAACTTTATAGTGTACTGGGTACTGTTTCCTGTAGTAGCAGACAAGATAAGAGCTGGTAAAACACAGGCTACAAAACTCATTTACTAAGGTTGTCACCTTTTTTTTTTTTTTCCATTTCTATATGTTTGCCTCTTAAACTTGGGGAGGCTTTTGTTTAACAACAGTAAAGTAAAATCTTCTTCCTTAAGTCTTTATGATACTTCTCCAGCAAGTCTGGGACGTGACTGAGTTATTTTTACCATCTGCTGTTTGGCTTTCTGTCATTTACTCCCTGTTCAGCAGAGCTCTTCTGCAGTGATCACTGCCCTTGTTTTGCAGACAGGCTACATTCTACACACTTGCTCTTGCTGATTTCACCTTAGCATTTTGTGGTAACAAAGCTGTGTGCACAACCAGAGTTGTGCCTTTCTTACTCTATAAGATGGGCTGTCTTCCTGCAGATGACTTTTGTTTTATGTTCCACTGTGTCTTGTTTGTGCCATTCTTAATTTACACGACAGAGATGCTGTCATCACCAATTAACATTAATCAAGGGCCCCCTGGATGCATGGCGGCATTGGGACTAATTTAATATGCTCTTTGTTCCAGATATCAGGTGGCTTCTTCAAATGCATTTTAAAGTATCTCAGTGATGATGAAGAAGAACGGATACATCAATCAGGATTCAGGAAGACAGCTTTTGCAGAAAATGCTTAAAGGGAAGCATCAAGCATTGGTGTTGATATTTGAAAGTTTAAGAGAGGTATACTTTTATTCAGTCAACACATGACAAATGTAAAAGGCACTCATTTGTTGTTCCTGGAACAAGCTTGGCAGCATTCCATTTAGACATCTGCCCTTTCATCGTCCCACTTTTTACTTATTGCAGTCCTTTCAGTCTGAATATTTCCTCCTGAGGCATTTTTCTGCCCTCAGAAATGACTCCCTGCTCCCAGTTCCTGTAGCCTTTATCATTCACACCTTTCACTTCGAAATTTAGCACATGTCACATTACACCATTATTGAATAAATATATATCCTTCCCAAGTGTATCAGAGAACTATCTGGACAATTTGTTTCTTTCCCAATTCTCAGAATCAGCAGTGTTCTGTCAGGAAATATTTATCGACGATGATGGCAATAGTCGATTATAATCAGATGAAGTTTCATTTTAAAAAAATGGTTGAGAGGAGAGACAAGGCTGAAGGTTTGGAAGTTGAGACTCACAAGCATCTTTAATAAACGTTTTCTCATCTAAGCGCTGTATGTACATCATTTGGGGGAGGGTAGAGATTGAGGGAGGAAGAACATCACTGGAGGAAGAGACAGCAGTTTGTCTTTCGAGTTTCAATAAAGTTTCAAAAATCCTGCCTAAGCTATATTTATTTTTTGGCCTTTCCCCTTTGATGTGACAATAAACTGTAATGGGGCTGTCGGTTGTACGAACCGGTATTCAGCAGAATAGATCTGAACACCTTCCTTTCAGAAAAAGAAGCGTTCGGTTCTGTCATAGATTTTAGAATGAAGAACACACTGGGCCAGCGAGGCTGGCAGCTGGCGAATTCCACCAGCAAGTAGACGCATTGCTGCGCTGGAGCCCGCGAACCAGGGACCGGTCTACCCAACCCAGGAAGGCATCCCCGGGGTCCCGCCCAGCCCGGTTCCGGGAGCCTTATTGGCCGGCCTTCCGCCCGCCATCTCTATCAGCCCCCGGGATTTGGCACAAGCCGTAGGCGGCTCCCTTTCGGTCACTCATTGGTCAAATCCTAATGGAGGTAAGGCACTCTACGAGTTTCTATTGGTCCCTAGGCTCCAAAATGGGCGGGGAAAAACAGAGCGACAGGGCTCTAGGAGGGAAGCGCGGAGTGCGCCGGCGCGTAGTCGGGGACGCCGTGCCGAGGGTTTGCTAGGGAACAGACAGTTATCGCCCCGCCCCCTCGGAGCTTTTTGTCCCGTTAACTGTCGGAGTGGCGGGGGCTCCGGCGCCGGGCGACATGCCGGTGCGCTTCAAGGTGAGGCTGGGGTCCCCGGGCCGGAAGGTGGCTGGGGGGAGCCACGGCGGGGGAGGTGCGGAGCGTCGAGGTCACGCTGCTTTTCAGCTCTGCAGCCCTCGGCCCGGCAGAAGCTGCCAACCCCAGGGCCTGCCTGAGGGGCCCCAGAATCTGCCCGCCACCTCTTACCTAGCTCTCTCTCCGCTCACTCACATTTGCAAGTTGCCGTGTGCCGAAGAGTCAGGTGATGCGAGACAGATTTACTTAAGGGGACTCGAGAGGAGTGTAGATGGGAGGAGGCCACTTTGCGAAGAGAACTAAAGGCGACTTACGTTTGGGACACCTGTGGCCCATTTAGCTTAGCATTTAACCCCCATTACCTTTACAACTTTAGTGTATGTGGCTTTTAAAGGCTTGAGAAATGGGTTCTTAGTAAAGATAGGGTATAAAGAAATACACATTTTTCATCGTTGTGCATTCTTAGGGTATGTTAAAAGTTCCAGGTAGCTGGTAGCTGTCAGGGACTAGCACCCTGCAACTTAACAGGTGGCCACAGCGTCCCACACCTCCTGACTCATTTATCTTAAAGGCGTGTATTCAGAATGGAAGGGGAGTTTGCCTTTTGTTGACTTTACCAAATAGCAAAAGGTCCTAGGCATAATACATAATATTGTGTACTCGGTGAAAACCTGGGATAAATCTAGTGGAGTGATCAGAATTTAGATTGTCACTAGTTATCCGACAAGAACTCATGCTTTGGAATCAGATAATCAGTGAAAGGGTAACCTCTGAGCCTGGTATTCCTGGTAGCATCTGCCTCAAGTGGTGTTGAGGCTTAAAGGATGTAACTCGTGTGAACTGCTTAGCACAGGGCTGGGTGAATATTAGCTCTTACTAAGGAGCTCGTCTGTGTTTAATTTTCAGTCTTAAGTCTCTTTGGAGGTTCAGAAATTATTTTTCACTGATGTCTGCTTTAAAACATCATTCATTAATTGCACTGTACTCAAAGTGTACTTTCTTTACAGGGGCTGAGTGAATACCAGAGGAACTTCCTGTGGAAAAAGTCTTATTTGTCAGAGTCTTGTAATTCCTCCGTGGTGCGAAAGTACCCATGGGCTGGACTTAGATCAGATCAATTAGGTAAGTTGAGCAAGCTAATAGCCATTCTAACCTGGGCTAAGTTTATAACTTGGGCTAAGCCATTATAACTTGGGCTAAGTAAACCTTGGGCTAAGTTTACCAAATGATATATTAAAAGTTCAGTTGGCCTGGTTGATTTATTCATTTATTAATCAAATATTTATTGAAGGTTTACTATGAGCCAGGACTATTCCCAGCAGCTAGTGTGGCCGTCCAGGTTTCACTAATGGAGGCCTCCATCACAACTGTTTCAGTACTGACTGAGTGGTTAAGTTAAATATTAAAAGCTAAGAAAAGCCAGTGCCCTTACACAGAGGCTGGGATGTAACAAAAGCCCATCAAGAGTTTTGCCTAGGCCTTTCCTGGGCCGTAAAGCATGACAAAATAAGGAATTCTTAACAGGATCCATTTAGGATTAAACAAGTTTTAATGGGGGTCTGCAGAAACTCCCCAGGCCTCCACAAACAAATTTATTGGCGGTCTGAAAGAACTCCTCAAACCTCCGTGATTCAGCAGGAGACAAGATAAGGGTAATCAGCCCAGCACCTAGATGCATTTAGATAAAGTAAGTTTACTGATGCTCCAGAAGAAGGTCTTCAGGACTCAGACCTTACTTATAGATTAAAAGAAGGTAATCACTTACATCCTTAGATGAATGCACACTTACACGTAGACTTACAGCTTAGAAGGTATATAAGCTCTGAAAAACTTTGTAATTTGGGGTTGGTCTGGTGATAATTTTCAGGCCTTCTCCCCGTAACTGGTTATAGAAGTAAAAACTTTCTTTCTCCCTAGTTCATCTGCATCTCGTTATTGGCGGAGAGAAATAGCAGCCCGACCCTCAGTTTGGTCTGGGAACACTAGGGATATAGCCCTGAACCAAAGTACCTTAACTGTGGAGAGAAACAGTAAGCAAGTCACTCAATAAATAAGGGAATTTCAGGTTTTTCTATAAAATTGTAGGGAAGTTTGATAGATAACATGCAGGAGGGGGAGACTGGAGGGAAAACGCTTTAGATTAGATGGTTGGGAAAGGCTCACTTTGAGGAGGTGATATTTGAGCTGAGACCTGAAAGCTGAGGGGAAAGTGCTGGGGAAGAGTGCTCCCAAGGTCTTGAGAAATGGAAGCTTAGGGAGGTTAGGTCGCTGCCCCAGCTTTACAGCTAGTAAGTGGTAGAACCATGATTTGAAATCAAGTCTGTTTTGTGCAAAGCACGCGATTTCAGAGGTCATGTTCTTGTTATCACACATGCCTCCTCCCTGTGTCCCGGGGAAGTCAGGTTCGTGGGCCAGGGTTTCCCAGAGGGTGACAGAACAGAAAGGAGACAGACTGACTTCATTATACCTGCTTGTTTAATTCTTCCTTACTAGTATATCAGATCTCTGAGAGTAAGGCTCTGTCTTATCCACCACCTTGTTCCTACCCAGTACCTAATACAGGTCTTGGAACAATCTATTGCTTCTTGAAACTAATTTTTGAATGAATGAATAACCCGAAATTTGAATCCACAATAGCTGTTGGGCAAATTGAGCTAGTTTCACCAAGTGAGATTTTAGGAAGCCTGTTAAATAGGATTGCTGGGAGGGTTTAAATGAGATGTTGCCTATTAAGGGCCTGGTTCATGTACACAGATCAGTGCTTGGTGCCCCACATGTGATGTGTGCGAGCATGGCAGATAAGTCACATAAATGTTAGATGTTTGAAGCCAGGAAAAGACTTATGGGTAGGGTACCAAGCCTGGGAAGTTAGTAAGATGAGGAGGTATTTTCAGAATTAGGTTTGGAGTACAAAGGGAAGAGTGGGCAAGAGTGGGTGTCTCTTTTAGGGTTCCTCTGAAGCATCATGATCTGACCCAGCGCCAAACTTCAGAGACTGGGTGTCCCTGCTTCTCTGGCAGGGTGCTAGGAAAATCCCTCTGCTCATAATCCTCTTTTTACAAATGACTAGAAATTCCACATATTTGAGCTTCCATTAGATTAAGAATCCAAATAAATCTCTGTTTAAGCATAGATATCCCACCCTGCTGAGCGCCTACAAGGCTATTATGACACTGGAAAATTCATTAAACTGGGTAGTTGTCCAATAACATTTCAGCTTAGATCAGCTGCATTTGAGGGGAAGGTGATGAAATGAGACCATGAGAGCAAAGCCACCTTAGAGCATAGTATATAATGAAGGAAGGAGTGGACTAGGGGAGGAACGTTAGTGGAGAATTTTAGGTCATGGGGAGGGACTGAGCAAGAACTCCAGAATGCTCAGAACGGGAGGTGGGAGGTTAGCAAAAAACAACAGCAGTGTTACCCAGGATGGCTGTCCCTTCTTTTAGAGTAGTGTATTTTTACCCTGGGGATTTGCTGGTGCTGAGAGGCAACAGCAGACCACTTGAGAATTTTCTTTCATTTTGCTCTTCTACCAAAAACCTGCCTCTGTGTTAAAGCAGAGAGGAGTCTAATTGGTGATCTTCAAGCTTTTTAGCTTTTATACTTCCTAGAAAAATTTAGAAAAACATTGTGCCTCATCACAATGTTTTTCTAAATTGCTATTTTTTATCATAAATTTTTATGAATAGTTTTGAATAATAGAATTTCTGGTATATTGCATAGTGCTTGTATGTTTTACATATATTTTGCAAAAACTCTGGAACTGCCAGTTTAGCCCATTCAATTTATGGAAAATGTTTATCATGCAACTGGCAAAGTCAGTATTCATTGGCAAACTAACCGGCCAAATTAGAATTATTTTCTGTGAGAAAAAAGTCTGTTTATCTTTAATTAAGGTAAATGTTAATATGCATATGTACATTTCACATGATATCCCTCTCATACCTGAATTTTAATACTAAGAAGGAGATGGAAAATCCATGGAGCTATGTGAAATAAGATACTGTTCCTTTGTTATTTCTAATCTCTGTTTGCTTTGCTTTGCTGTTAAATATTCTCCCTCAGGGATATGCTTTCTTGAATTGTCCCTTTGTTTGGCTTCCTACCCCTGAGGTTTTGTTCTACCTTGAGGGGATGCGCTGGAGTAAGTTTCAGGCTGGTTAAGAGGTGTGTCTGTCTTCTGTAAAGTGGGAAAAGGGAGATTATGAAAGGGGTGGTGGGAGATGGAACTGCAGATGGCAGATGCAGCTCTCAGGCAGACAGATCAGCGTCAGGCAAGAGAGCACACACATATGGAGTTGAGGATCTGGAAAATGATTCCCTTAAGCCGCCCACTTCTGTTTACCCTCCACATCTTTGTGTGCCTCCAGACAGATAACCAGCCAGTGTGAAGACCTGTGGTCTAGGGAAGCCTTTTAAAAGGGTAGGGACCCGGGGTGACATGGCCAGCACATCTACAACAGAGGCTAAGGAGTCCTGGGTTCTACCTCATGCCCAATTTTCTTTCCACCTTCCTTTTCCGTTCTGGTCTTAATCTTCCTTCTCCACTCTGCAGCCGTCTTAAAGATGGCCCTAAACTAGGGCAGTCTCTCAGTGGCTGTCATTCTGCAGAGCTGCTTTTACCTCCGTAGAAGGTTAAGTTTTTGGACCTTTGCTTTCCATACAGAAATATAGAGAAATTGTATCTTAGCTGTTGTTAAAAGGGCTTATTCTTTTTTTTTTTTTTTTGAGACAGTGTCTTGCTCTGTCGCCCAGGCTGGAGTGCAGTGGCACAGTCTTGGCTCACTGCAAGCTCCGCCTCCTCGGTTCACGCCATTCTCCTGCCTCAGCCACCCGAGTAGCTGGGACTACGCGCCCGCCACCATGCCTGGCTATTTTTTTTTTTGGTATTTTTTAGAAGGGATGGGGTTTCACTGTGTTAGCCAGGATGGTCTCGATCTCTTGACTTCGTGATCTGCCTGCCTTGGCCTCTCAAAGTGCTGGAATTACAGGCATGAGCCACTGCGCCCGGCCTATTCTTTTTTAATTCTCAGGAAATCAAGGCAGATGTAGAACCAAGATCCAGCACAATGACATCTCATCCCTTCTCATCTTGGTCTGCTCCACTTAAGAGAAGCTTTGTGAAAAGTTCCAAATTTTGACAGTACCAGGGCCCATTGTTCCGTTAAGTAGCACAGGAAAGTAATTATAAACGAGGCAGCATGTACTGCCTGGCTTGCCAGGTCTATCATGTTGCAATTCTAGTGACTTTTGTTAGGATAACTGGAACATTGTGACCCACTGATTTTTAATTTTTTGTTATGGTTAAATTTTTAATGCTTTTAAAAGCAAAATTAAATATTTTATGTTGAAAAGTTGTACTTTTAAAATCCTATATTCTGAAGGATATTGTGTGTATATATAGGTACATATATCTGAACTAAATTTTAAATTTCATTTCTCCTTCACAAGTGTTCTTAAAAGTTGTCTTCGTAACTTTTTGCTTTGGTAGCTACTAGTTTTGTATACCGTGTTTTGTAGGGATCACGAAGGAGCCAAGTTTTATTTCAAAAAGAAGAGTCCCTTACCATGACCCACAGATTGCAAAATCTCTGGAGTGGAATGGAGCTATCTCAGAGAACAATGTGGTCGCATTGCCAGAACCAGAAGCCCCGGAAACACCAAAATCACAAGAAGCAGAACAAAAGGATGTTACTCAAGAAAGAGTTGACTCACTAGAAGCTTCCAGGGTTCCCAAAAGAACCAGATCTCACTCTGCAGACTCCAGAGCTGAAGGGGCTTCAGATGTTGTGGAAAATGAGGGTGTAACAAACCATATACCAGTTAATGAAAATGTGGAACTGGAACATTCTACCAAGGTTCTTTCAGAAAATGTAGATACTGGGGTAGGCATATTCACTGCATTTCTTTTCAGAAACATAGAATTCTTTGTTGGTTTCATTGTCATTTCTGTAATGTTACATTTTGTGTTTCAGAATTTTCCATTGTTGTTTTCTTGTCTAATGTCTATAAGAATAGTCGATAACAGGCTATTGACTTTAGTTGTTGTGAATTAGTTCTATTCTTACTACTCGCTATTTTGTAGTAGTTATGCTATGATATCCCTTTATTGGATGGACCTCCTGTGTCTGGATTTTATTCATCATGTATTAGCACCTGAGTCCCAAGGGAGAGATCAAGTTGAGACAGAGAAGGGAAGTAGGCCCTTACTTCTGGCAGGGTGCTGAGCTGACTTCTATCTAGCCCCTTGTCAGTTTCTTATCTGTATAAGAAGACAGACAGAAACTCAATTGATGAAATGCAAAAGGAAGGAGAGCTCTGGCTGTCTCTCAGAGATCTTGCATTTTTGCTCTCTTATGTCACAGCTGGCCTGCAGCAGGTCCTTGTGAGCACATAAGCAGAGGCTACCGGAACTTGCATGGGGATCTCAATGCCTTCCACGTTTCTTTCTCCATTCTGTTCCACTGCTCTTCTCTGGTTCATGTCCACCGCTGACTGGGACCTTGAAGAGGCATTTCAGAGTGTTGGAGAAGAATCCATAGCTTGTTGGAAAAGCTGGGGGTAAAAGGGAACAAGGAAGGTGATGTGTGAGTCTGGCAGGCAGGAGAAGGGGTGTTCACAGAAGCAGTGTGCAGATGAGGCAAAGTAGTGGGACTTTTTGGTAATAGATTTAATTATGAATGATTAGTAGGAAAGGACTGAGAGTATTGTATTTTTCCTGGGATGCCTAATAGTCCTTTGATAGAAAGGAATTTTAAATGGTTTGACACTTGAAAAAAGATACTATTCATAAGTTAAAGTTTGCTGTACCACAATGCGCATGTAGTTTACAATTCTGTACTGTAGACTGAACATTTTGTTAAGAGGATAGATTTTTGTGTTATGCATTTTTTTACCACAATTTTTAAAAAGTTTGAATAGAAATTTTTAATGTCTTTGAGTGGATTTTTGTTTTGAACAGTTGGATAGACTTCTGCGTAAGAAAGCTGGATTGACTGTTGTTCCTTCCTGTAATGCCTTGAGAAATTCTGAATATCAAAGGCAGTTTGTTTGGAAGACTTCTAAAGAAACTGCTCCAGCTTTTGCAGCCAATCAGGTAGTTTAATGGATGTAATACATTTCTGAGTACCATTATCTTATCTAGTAATGTAGATTTACATAGAATTAAGAGTTGCAAGAAATTAGGTACTTAAGTAGCCTGGAGGTAGGTTCTAGAAAACCGAAGTGAGAATTTTGCTAAAATCGTCCTGTTACTTATGATTTATGGTAGTAATATTATACTGTCCTAGGCTACTGATGATCATTGTTGCCAGATGCAGCACATATACTAAATATGAGACAGGGTAATGAAAACTTGGGGAACTGGTAAGTTTTTGCATGTTATAAGATTTTTTTACTTAATAAAAAATTATTAAATTGATTTTATTCTAAAATGTTGTGTTTTGTTGACTAATATATTGCATGTTTCCTGTATTAAAAGAAAAGCATAACTGCTTTGAATATTTATTTTAATAAATACAAAATATGTTGACAATAACACAAGATATGTAATTTTGTCCTTATATTAGACAAATAGTAATAGGCATTGTCGGTATAACTATATTTGTAAAATTCAGAAGCTGGTTTTAGATTTCATTATACTCCTGCACAGTTTTAGTGTTGAGATACTATTACTAGTAAATAGTCTGTTGTTTTACTACCTTCATCCTTTAGGCAGTTCTTAGGCTATAAACTCTCATTTATGTTCTTAACAGTACTTCTAGGCAGAGACAGGAAATACCTCCACTTGTAATATCCCCAGAGACCTATAATGGCTTAGTCTGTTTTTTCTTCTGGTCTTTGTGTTTTTCTTTATAAATATACACACTTTCACACACCCTTACATTCATTTCTCCTGTACGTCAGCATTCACTTATGTATTGTGTATAGCCCTAAGAACTGACAGGATAATTAGATTCAGCAAGACAATAACATCTAGTCATCTTACATTAAGATGAAAAAAACACCAATGATCCTATAAATCGTGGCAGCTTTGGGCTTATTCAATTTTTAAAATACCTTTGAAATTTGTATAACATCTTAAGAACCTACGAAGTAACAAAATGATAAGTACCCGTTATTAACATAGAGAATAGGATCAGTACTTCTTTTGCTTACCTACAGGGTTTTTTGGAGATTAAGTGTATCTAAAACATTTTTTACAACATGAAAATTGTAATTATTCGGTTTTTTATAGAGTATTTGACCTTGAAGATAGAGCTGATTCAAATCAAATCATATCGTCAACAAATAGGGCTTTTACATGTCAGTGAAAGCGTTGTGTAGAAATGTTACTTTTATAAGAGAAATCACTAGCGATATATTCACTGGTAGTTTTACTGCTTTCTTTAATGTGTTTCACAAGCTTTTTTTTTAGAAGGAATTGCTCATTGTTCAAAGCATATTGAATTCAGAGTCTATGGATTGAAGAGCTTTGAGACAGCTTTCAATCTTGTTGATAGGAAACCTCTAAAAAGGTTGTTCATTTCTATTTTATCAGACACCTGCTTTCTGTAAAGGATGTCTTATATTAATATGTAAAGGAGTCAGAACAGTTTTTGGCAGGAGAGTCCTTGAGGTTATACTGTACTAAAATAGATAAACTGTTTAGATCTGATCTGTATGAAGATACTCTATTCAGCATTACAAAGCAGTAATATAACTTGTTTGAGTTCCCTATCTTTTCCATTTGCTTTCCTTGTAATCAGTGGTAATATGCTGTGAAATAGAAACCATACTGTGAAATAGGATAAAAGGAAACATTTAACAATACAAGTGTAGTAATTGCTGAGAACATTTTCTTTGCCTTAATAAAATGTGCTGAAAATAAGCCAAGGGAAGAAAAGCTAAACAAATTCAACATATTGGGTGTTCGAAAATGTCAAGAACTTTCTATTAAGGCAGGAATAAAAAAAATCATGTCAGGGAGGAAAAAAAAACCTGTAGAACTGACAACAGAGTTGCCTTAAAGCTAATGTCTATGTCATATGAAAATATGCCAATATTTATTTTGGTTATAAGCTATATTTTGATTATAAAACTATTATTCAAAACGTGGTAATGAGTATATATAAAGTTGACCTTTGGATGTTAATAATATATGTGAAATGAAATTAAAATCATATATAACTTTGCTGTTTTTTTGTCCTGTAATGCAACTTGGTGTATGTTTTGTTAAGTAATTGAAGACCGAAGTTCTGCATATTTAATGAACAAAACTAAACTAAGATAATTTTTGTTTTAAGGTTTTCCACAATAAAAGCCAGTTTGCTCCACCATTCAAAGGTAACTCAGTCATCCATGAAACTGAATACAAAAGAAATTTCAAGGGTTTATCTCCAGTGAAAGAACCAAAATTAAGAAATGATTTGAGAGAAAACAGAAATCTTGAAACAGTATCTCCTGAAAAGAAGGTATTCATCAACTTTTAACCTTACCAAACAAAATCCCGATTATTTTAGATTCTCCACATTTTCTTTTACTTACTACCACCTGGGAGTTTTTGGTTTTCACTAGTTCATTAATTCATTTGTTCATCAAATGTTCACTGAGCCAGCTACTAGGAGCAGACATGGGTTGGTACTGAGAATACAAGGCTGGCAAATAGCCCCAAGCAGCTCTTGGGCTAGTGGGGAGACAGACATAAATAAAAATGATACAGCATGTTGAGTACTTAACAATGCAGGAGGTAAGTCTAATACGGTTAATATCAAAGTCTAGTAAGTTTAATATCAAATGACTGGATTTATAGTAACTTCCCGGGGTAACAGTAGTGCTAGAAATACTTGTTTTAAGTTATGGAAATTAAACACATACATACTCACATGTATTTTATTTTTATTTATTTTTTCAAGATGGAGTCTTGCTCTGTCACCCAGGCTGGAGTGTGGTGGCATGATCTTGGCTCACTGCAACCTCTGCCTCCCAGGTTCAAGCAATTCTCCTGCCTCAGCCTCCTGAGTACCTGGGACTACAGGTGCATGCCACCATGCCTGGCGAATTTTTGTATTTTTAGTAGAATCGGGGTTTCACTATGTTGGCCAGGCTGGTCTCGAACTGCTAGCCTCAGGTGATCTGCCCACCTTGGCCTCCCAAAGTGCTGGGATTACAGGCGTGAGCTGCCACGCCTGGCCGTCACAAGTAGTTTAAACCAAAGGGTTAGCATGCCAGATTATAGCCAGTATAATTCATATGATCTACCTCAGAATATACAAACAACAGCTTCTGTGTGATATTACAGCCATTTAAGTTGCAGAATCAGGCTAACATGATTATAAATTACAGGTAATTGGGGTATAAATACTATTTTTTAGTCTCCTGGAATGTTGATACCTGATATTTTATGGGTCCTAAAAATAGTATAAAGCTATAAGTAAATATGACTAAAAGTAAAATGATTTATACACACACATATATTAGACCTATGATATTATCGGAGAAAAAAACAGAATTGTTATTCAGTAAAGTGATTTGGTAACTAATTCATCAGGATCTTATGTGTAATTACTGTAATGCAATTGTAAATTTAGAATATCAAGTTCATTGTGTGGTAACATTATTTAGATATGTATTTGTTAACTTAAAAATTTTCTTCCTTAGCCAAAGATCTAAAATCTTTATTGTTAGAAAATGAAACTATATCCTCAGCTAAACTTCAAAAATAACTAACCAAATATAATAAAAATTTCAAAACTTGTTTGTTGATTTCTTATTTTTGTTTTCTTTAGTATCTAAAGCTTCTAAAAATAGAAATGTCATTAAATATTCAAGTCTAACTTTATAAAATCCATGTTTTCACTTTAATGTGTAACATTTTAAGCATAAAAAGCTTAAATTATTTCCATTTCAGAGTAATGAAATAGATGATCCTTTAAAATTGGAAGCAGAGATGGAATTAAAAGACTTACACCAGCCTAAAAAGAAGCTTACTCCTTGGAAACATCAAAGACTTGGGTATGTATTTTAATAGGAAAATATAGTATTTCAGTGATCAACATGGTGAAATATTTACTTTCATTTCATTTCTATCAGGAAGGTGAATTCCGAATATAGAGCAAAATTTCTGAGCCCAGCTCAGTATTTATATAAAGCTGGGGCTTGGACACGTGTGAAGGGAAACATGCCAAATCAGGTGAGTGTACGTGAGCTCAATAAGCCCACATGTTCTTTCAGCCTCTATTAACACTTTAATTTCACAATGAGTTCCATTTGGTAATAGAGACCACAATTTAAAGAAGTATGATATAATAATAGCACTAATAGTATCAGTAACTTATGTATTAGGATGTAAATTATCAGTGTGTTTTTTTTAATGCCACTGGCTCTTCAGCAATTACTATTCATTGAGGTCTTTTAAGTTAGCGCTTTTTACCATCAAACATTTGATTGTGTTAATAGATTGAATTTATAGAATTGTATCATTATAGATTTGATTATTTCATAAGTTTCAGACCTCCACTCTCTCAACTGAAGATTAAATAATTTGTCTGATAGTGATGCCCATTGTCAGTGTGTACTCTTACAGTTTGTAGGCAAAAGAAAGGTGCAGCTTGTGTGGTTAGAGGTGTGAGCTACAGTGTTGGGGTACTCTAATGTGGGAGAAACTGGGGATCTGAAGATAGGTTTGAGGGGAAGGGTAATTCTAGAGTTGAGAAGTGCTACTTTAGTACTAGCTTCTTACACTCAAAGGATAGAGAATGGAACATTTTTGTTATTGTATTAGCATCTTTCAAATCGTATCTTGACTTTTTTTAACTTTTCTGAGAGAACAAGCTACATTAAAATGTTTCTGTTTAGATTAGACATTAGTAAACATCCCACTTCCCCCCTGTCATTGTAAACAGAAGGATAATTTGGATGGGGAATGGGTCTTTTATTTAGCTCATTATTTAAAACCATGGCCCACAATTATGTATAATCAGCCTCTGGGGGAAAGGGCTGGTGCTTGGTGCTCGGTGCTCGGTGCTCGGTGCTCGGTGCTCGGTGCTCAGTGCTCTGAGCTGCTGGTTCTTTGAACTGCAGCTCCCGGACACATGTCCTAGTGACTGTCATGCTGTCTGCATATTGTTTCAGGATGTCACTTGATTTCTTCCACCGTGGCCACTCTTTTGCTTTCTACTTCTCTATTTGAGCATATCTTGAAGATAGCACAGGCAAGTAAAAGACAAGCTCAAAGCTGTCCCAGATATTATCTGGGGCAATGTTCATATATTCCCCTTAGTGAAATCAAGTTAAAACTAGGAGCAGCGAAAGCACCCATGATGGAAGAAAGGCAGTGAGTCAGCTAAACTCTTGAGCAGTTTGTGACCATCCCAAGTCTTGGCAAAGATCTCCCTGACTGAGGAATCTGATAGTGGGAGTGAGGAAAAGCAGGACAGAGGCAGAACAGTGTGTGGCCAGTAAATCGGTGTCAGCTGCTGGCCTGTTGTGTTTAGGCATGACACTAGGTTGAGGTTATGAGAAACTCTTTGTTTTGGAAGACTGTTTTCTCTGAGATTTCTACCCTCAATCTTAGCCAAAAGACCGAGAAGCAATTTCTTTAAGATGAGTTTAGGCGTCAGAACTAAACATCTACTTGAGAAGATTTGTTAAAACTGAAGTAATAGTAAGATGAGATTCCTTATCCTGCCTTGATGGACAAGAACATTGTTGTTGTCAATAGACTTTTCAAGGTTTCCTATTATATCTTGGTAATGTTGCTTTTTTTGCTTATTAAAGACTATATTAGTGGTTGTAAATATTTAAATTAGTGGTATAGTTTGCCTTAATTTCTTTGAGAAAAATAATTCAGAAAGTAAATTGAAGTTAGAAAAGAATAAGAATTTTTAGCTAAGAAGTCAGTGATCATTGATGATAACAGTTTTAGTTGGCCAGGTTATAGGCATTTAATATGGGCCATGTTTTACTTAGATCTCTCAAAAGTCATTTACTATAGGCAGCTGATTATGAGGTTCCTAAATATAAGGTACAGTACTCCTTCATTTTCCCACTCCTAACATTCCAACACTTACGACTAACAAAGTCATAAGTGACTTTGTTGTTGGAATATTAATGCACTTTTTGAGTCACATTAGTTTTTGAGTCCATATATCATCTTCATTTCTTTCTATGTTTGAGATGTACTTTTTGAATATGTTAATAGTCTATCGTCACTGGAAATTCTATGCTAAGTCCCAGTTACCTCTCATAGAGCATTAGGGTGGTTGGTTTTATTTGCCCAGTGGTTGTGTATTTGTCATCTCCATTACAATAACCACTTGACTATTGCTTTTTAAAATGCTCACTTAAGGGATTTTTTCTTAATAGTCAGCAATTACAATGTTTTAGGTTCTATCCTCAGAATAACTACTTAATCTATGTTAAATTTCTTTTTTTCTTAATTGTTAAGTAATCTTTTCATCATCGATTGGTTGAGGTGATTTTATTCTAATGTGTCTTCCACAAATAGGACTGTGTTTCAAGATAAAGTCCTGCATTTGAGAGCTGTCCTATAAGTTGACAGACATTGTAAAGACTAGGTATAAAGTGACCCCTCATTTTGGGGGGATGATTTTTGAGTAAAAAGAGTTTTTATCCCCAGTTTCTTGAGTTTGAATTTTCTGCGTATGTTTTAAATAATTTAGTTGAACTCTTAATTTGCACAAAGAAATTCAGAAAAGAAAACATTTTTACTTATAATTATATCATATCATATAATATGATGACATTACTTGACCCAGAAAGGTGCGTGTATGTTGTTTTGAGATGGGAATGGTTTATTTCTATCCTTTTTAGTGGCTCTGGTTGTTGGCTGTAGGGATTGTTCTATTTAACATTGACTTCATGCCATTGATTTTTTTCCTCTTCTTTTTAGTAAAACATACTACCTTGGAAAATGTCAGCCTTCTAATTTTTCATCTTAGTTTAGGGTTATAGATATTTAAAATCATATATTTGTAAAATATAATAGCACTAAGATTATTAATAAAGATTGTTGATATAGTAAATTTAAAGCACTTAGTTTTAAATGTCAGTAACAAATGGAACTGAATAAATCAAAGTTCTACAGAATTTTTATGAAGTATCCTCCCCCCCTCCTTTCTAAGTAAAGTTGATGTCAAATAAAACTGGATGACTGTGTACATGGAGAGTATTCATCCATTCTTTCATTCATCATGCATGGATAGATGCAGCTGCCTCTGCTGCCCCCTCCACCTACACAGTCCCGCCACTCTGCCCAACACAGTGCAGGACCAATTGGTCCCCCTTTTGAACCACTCCTTCAATTTACATTTCATTTCATTTGTTTATTATGCCATAGACCCCATCAATATTATGATAATTTATGTACAGGTTAACCTCCTGTCTCAGACTGTGAGCTCACTGAGGGCAGGGAGTTTCTTGCTTATCTTTGGCTGCCATGGTTAGCTCAGGCATACCACTTAGTCTGCACTCAGGACAGGTTGTGGACTCAGTGCTTAAGTGCTACATTTTACCTCACCTCAAGAAGTTCATAGGTTGATGGACGAGGACGCCATGTGCAATTAATTCCAGTAAAACTGAATATGTATTAATGGGAATGTACACAAAGAATTCTGAGAACACAGAGGAGGAAGTGATGCTAAAGCACGTAGGTGATGGAGTGGCTATGAAACATTTGAAACATGGGGGCACTTATTGGCAATAAAATCTGGAGTATATGGAGGCACTTTATAACAAGGTTCCTGTGCATTCAGAATACCCTGGTTAGAAGTTCAGTAGAGTTAGTTCATGTACCTCACTTCTACCTGTTAAATGCAAAAACTACTGCTAGAAATTTTCTTTAAAGTTATAGGAGTTGATAGAAATGATAGATGAACAAAGCTTTTTTTGTTGTTGTTGGCAGTGAAGAAAATATTTCAAAGTATCCTTTAGGATTTTTTTTTCAGGTATGGTTCATTAGAGTAGGACTCTGTTGGCATTATATGGTTTCTTATGCCATGTAGGTGCTGTCTTTTGCTTTTGCCAGTTCCCTAGAGTTGTAACACTTTCATCTCTGCATTCAAAATCGTACCTTGTTAAGGAGCTGAGAATATGTTTCTACAATTACTTTTACATTGCTGTTTCATTGTTTGCTTTTTTTGCCCTGAAAGAAAAGCAGTTCTAGAATAAAGATTTTCTGTCTTGATGATAAAAAAAATTAGTGTTTTTCGAGAATAAATAAAGCTATTGAACAGAATTTTAAGGGTAAAACTTCAACTTAATTTTTTTACATTGTGGAATTGTACTTGGGGAAGCCAGGAGGTGGCAGTATGATGTATAAAGTGAAAGGTTTCAAATGGGTATAAAGGCTCCTTTTCATCAGAAAATGTTACTTGCATATTAAAGAATTCGTATCACTTTATTATTCATCAGAACTTTTTTTATACTGTCACTTTGTTGAACATATTTCTATTATGATTTTATGGGCCATTATTTTAAATTATATATTTAGTACTTTTTTTTTTTTTAAGTAGAGATTTTGCTGATTCCAAGGGAACATTGAGGAGTTTAGAGAGGGAAGCCTCATAACCTCATAACTCTCCCAGTAAGGGCTTCTGTAGCAGTAGTAGCTGTATGCAAAGCCATGAAATAAAGCTGGGTTAGGGATTTCTGGCATGTAAGCACCCTTCCAGAGGTGGGGAAATAGGAATAATAATTAGATTGCCTAATTTATCTGTCATCAGCAGCATCCTAGCCATGCAAGAATGTGGCTCGTTTTCAAGATAATAATAAGTTATCTTGGTTACTGAACTAATTACTTAATATACTAAGAAATATTGATTGACAAGTTTGGTAGATATTTAGAAGGGAGAATAATGTGTTTCATTGGTTCCCATTAATATTCAGTTATGGCATTAACCTATCATTAAGTGTGTTTCTGTATTCCTTCTCTAGGGTTCTCTAAATGCCATGTGGTATGCCGAGGTTGGTTGCTTTTGAGTTTTTAAAAACTATAATGCATAGATTACTTGTGTAATTTCTGTTGGAATAAAAAGTAGATGTCATTATTTTCCTTAGCTGCTATAAATTTCTCCCTGCCTGCTGGTCTGAAATAAAACAGCTGCATCGTGCTTTAGCTTGATTGTTTTCATTTTTGCTTAAATGCACAAAGTCTGATGACTGTATGTGGCTAATTTTGCCTGCCTTTGTCCTTGGTCCCTGGCTGTATTTGTTCAATGTCTTTGATATGCTACTTGGTGCTATTTGTAAAGAAGCATTTACAATAGTATATGATGTCTGAACTCTCCTGTATAGGTTAAAGAACTCCGAGAAAAGGCTGAGTTTTATAGGAAGCGAGTTCAGGGGACACATTTTTCTCGGGACCACCTGAATCAGATTCTGTCTGATAGCAACTGCTGTTGGGATGTCTCCTCAACTACAAGCTCAGAAGGAACCGTTAGTAACAACATCAGAGCATTAGATCTTGCTGGGTGAGATATTCTTTGTGGATGGCAAAAAAAGTTTGTTGACACTTATATAGATCATAGAATGTCATAGGAAAATGACCTGACTACTCAAAATTTGTCTCCAGTCAAATGGAAATGTGGCAGCCATTTATTTCATTTTTATTCTCTGTGAAAAATAAAGCAAGATAGATTGCTTTATTTGTGTATAAATACCACATAATGTAAATCTGGAAGGCTAGATTTTTATAATATTTTTTGTTGACAATTAATAGCAGAGTAGGGATGATTATATGGTATATGTAAAAAGACCTTTAGAAGGTGAAAAGAAAGTCAACAACAATAAAAACGTGGAGACTGTAAGCTATTAATGCATACCTATTATCATTCATTGATGGATTTTGTGGCTGATTCAGAACTTGACTACTGATTTTATGGAAGAGCGCTTTGCTGTTTTGGGTTTAAATGAACATGATTTAACTATTTGTAAGCGAAAGTAATTGAAGAACTTAGACCATGAGATCCTAGTTTATGTGTGTAAATGCCAGTTTAGGGCTGGGTATGACTTGTGTCAGCAGATTAGATGTACACAAGCATATGTGAAGGTAGGAGTAAAAGAAGATAAATGCATTTTGGAATATTTTAATATAAACTCCACATTATAACTTTGATTTATTTTACTATAAAACAAATTAGATTTCCTTCTTCAATACCTGAGCAAGGCAATATCTATGGAAAACGTGTAGTTGTGAACAGAAGAAGGAAACGATGGACTCATTAAAATTGGTGTAGATTAGGAAAGTGCAGACTATTCATGTTTAAAATAAAACTGATTTTGTTAACACAGAGATACTACAAGCCATAAGACTTTGCAGAAATGTCCTTCTACAGAACCAGAAGAAAAAAGAAAGATCGTGGAAGAACAGCCCCAGAAAAATACCACGGAGAAATTGGGCGTGTCAGCTCCTACTCTACCTGTTAGAAGGCGGCTGGCTTGGGATACAGAGAACAGTAGTGAAGACATACAGAAACAGCCCAGGGAGAAAGAGGAGGAGGAGGAGGAGGATGACAATGAGGAGAAAGGGGACAGGAAAACAGGCAAGCAGGCATTTATGGGAGAGCAAGAGAAGTTGGATGTACATGAGAAATCTAAGGCAGACAAGATGAAAGAAGGGTGAGAGTTTTAAATTACTCAGTATGGAGAAGCGTTATTTACATAGTCGATATGTACTTTGTTTTGTCACTAAATATAGTGGTTTACACTTTTGATTTTATGACTAATAAAGTGCAGATTTTATTTCAGTGTCACAAAGGCACTGCTATGGGGTGAATAATTTGATTCAGGTATTTAAGTCACTACTGATTGGTAATTGAATACTTGAATTCTGGGCTACTTTGGGAAGAAGTAGTTAGGATTATTTTCATTTATGTCCTATAATTTGTGGTGTGCCAGATTTGCAAACATGTCTGGAAGAATGACTTTAAAGAAAAAAGCTGGTACTCTTTAATATCAGATGATTCTACCAAAAAAGATGTTTTATGATATTTTTTAAAAAGTGATTTCTGAAAATAGCTAATTCCTGTTGTTTTATGTGTAAAATGCTTTGGGGAGTTGCTCTTCTCCACCTATGATAATAGTGCCTTTTGTCTATAATCTAAATCCCTTATTCATTCATGGATGTTATGGAACTTGAGCCTTGATGTAAGGAAGGATTCTCTGCTGTGCTGGTGCTGACGTGCAGTGATTTTCCCCCTTATCCAGTATTCAGTCACTTTTTTCTTTGTGGGTTATTTTTATTCTATTGATATAGTCCATATAGCTTATAGTATTTTTTCAGTGTTCAGTTTTATTTTTGATCTTGTGCTTAGTTCTATTCATTATTGAAAATTTTAGTCTCTTTTAACTGCATGTGGATTTGGTGGTTATTTTTTCAGAAACAAAATGGCATTCTCTTACAAGTTTTATACTTTATTGCACAATGATGACAAAGTATTTTTTTTATCATATTTTCTGAAGGAAATGCTGTATAGATTCATAGATTGTTTCAATTTATAGGTCGGATTCTTCTTCTGTATCCTCAGAAAAAGGAGGCCGGCTTCCTACTCCTAAGCTGAGAGAACTTGGTGGAATCCAGAGGACTCATCATGATCTCACTACTCCAGCTGTTGGTAATCAGCAAACACCGTGCAGTTCTTATTTAACCTGCTTTTTCTACATGATAATTTAGTGTAATTGAAACTATCATCTTCTTTATTTTTCCAGGTGGTGCTGTTTTAGTGTCTCCATCTAAGATGAAGCCTCCAGCCCCAGAACAGAGGAAAAGAATGACCTCTCAGGATTGTTTAGAAACTTCAAAGAATGATTTTACTAAGGTAAATATATTTTGGGGAAAAAAATCATCTCATCTGTGACTAATTATTGTAGACATGTAATAAATGAATGATAGGTTAAGAATTTAGAGAATTGTGGCTATCATACGAGGGGATGATACTGTTAACCTGCTTTTAGTAAGGCAAAAGTCTTGACTTTTTTTCTGTTAGAAGCATTGCGTTTCTGTTGATACATTTTCAACTTTGTCAGTAGTGACTCAACAGGAAGAGAAAGAAAACAATACTTTTATTGAGCATCTCCTGTGTGGCAGTTGTATTCCAGCTATGTTCCAGGCATTGTTTTAGTGCTGGGGATATAGCAGAGAACAAACAGACAAAAATCATGGTCGTCATTGAACTTACGTTCTAGTGGAGGAGAGAGACAAACAAAATAACCAGGTAAAATACACAGTATTTTAGATATTGATTAGTACTAAGGAGAAAAATAAAGCCACTGAAGTGAACAGGAAGTGGCCAGGGAAGTCCTCAGTGCGAGAGTGGCATTTAAGCAGGATCTGATAAAGGTAAGGGATTGACCTGTATGCGGATCTGGGAAGGTCTAGGTGGCAAGAACAGCAAGTGCAGATCCCTCAGGTGAAGGGGGTATCTGCCTCTCTGAGGAACAGCTAGGAGATCACTGTAGCTGGAAGAGAGAGAATGAGAGGGATAGCAGTGTTGATAATGGGTTCAGAGACATAATGGGGTGCTAAATTGTGTAGGGCTTTGTAAATCATAGCAAAGATACTGAATTTTTTTGTTTGCAGTGCGAAACTTATTGGAAAGGCATAATTTTACTTAGTTTTTTCCCAAGGTCTTTCTGGCAGCTGTGTTGAGAATAGATAGTAGTAGAGCAAGAGCTAGTGCATAAAAACAGTTGGGAGTCACTTACTCTATCCAGGCAAGAGGTGATGGTTGTTTGGACCTTGGTGGTGGCAGTCAAGGTCATATGATAAAGTTCAATTCTGGATATACATGGAAGGTACAGCCAACAAGATTTGCTGATGGGTAAGATCTGGGGTGGGAGAAAGAGAAAAATCAAGGGTGACTCAAGATTTTTGGCCTTAGCAATAAGGATGGAGTTACCATTTAACTGAGTTGGGGATGATCAAGAATTCCATTCTGGACACACTAAATTTGAGAAGCTTATTAGACGTACAAGTAGACCTGTTGAATAGGGAACTGACTATATAGGTTTGGAGTGTAGAGGAGAAGTTGGGCTATCGGTACAGATTTGAGGCTCTTTACAGCTTAGGTGAGTCAGGTATTTAAAGTATTGAGACTGGAGGAAATCATCAAGGGAGTGGGTGTAGACGGAGAAGAATAGTTGCAGACAGGTCTAAGCCCCAGTTTTTTGATATTGGGAAGTTGAGGACTAGTCAGCAAAGGAGACTGAAGGAGAGCAGCCAGTGAGGTGGTGACAAACAGGAGACTGGTATCCTGGAGGTGTCAAGGGGAGGGAGAGTCAATGCTACAGATAGGTCAGTAAGATAGGACAGTTGCTTATTGGATTTAGCAACACGGAGGTCATTGGTGACCTTGATAAAGGGCAGTTTTGGTGGAAAGGAGGAACAAAAGCCTAAGTGCAAGTGAATTCAAGAGGAAAAAGAGGAGAAGAATTGGAGAAAGCTGCCACAGATAATTCTTTGAAGTGTTTCTTTTCCAAGAGGGGAAGCAGAGTAATGCAGGTGTAGTTGGGAGAAGTGAGATCAAGATGGAAGACATAACAGCATGTTTGTATGTGGACAAGAATAATTTTGGAGAGAGAAAAGTTGATGATGCAGGAGTGAGGGGAAAGTTGTTGGAAAGATGCTCTTGAGTAGGAGAAAGGGCTTAGGATCTGGCGGAGATATGGAAGGGTTGGCTTTAGACACTGACTGTTTATTTTTACAAGAGGGAAAGCTGAACTCATGGGCACTGCTGATGAATGTAGGAAGATGCGATGGCAGCTTTTGTAAAACCTCTTCTTATTGCTTCTTGGTGACGTGTGAAGAAAAATCCTTGCTGAGAATAAGGCTGGGGAAGATGTTGGAGATTTGAGGAAAGTGAAGGCATGGAGTAGTCTTCTCAGAGAGTGGGAGAGTGAGTGGGCCAGGGGAATATGGGATATTTTAGGCCAGTGTTAAGGGGCCGTTTTAGGTTGGTGGTCACAAAGTTGGCGGAAGACCAGTCAGGAAGGGTTGTGTGCCTTTCTCCAGCAATGTTTGGCTGCAGAGGTGCAGCATACTTTTATCAGATAGAGAGTTGGATTTACCTAGGGTTTTGAACTTGATAGAGTCAGAGTGTTGCATTTACCTAGGGTTTTCAACTTGTCATGAGATTAAGACAAAGTGAGAAAAAGGGGAATGGAGTTAAGGTATATATGAAGAAGGGATTATAATGAGTTGGTGAGGGAAGGACACTGGGACTTGAGAACAGTGCAGAGGTGATAGGATCGGTGGATGGATGGTCTAGGTAAAATAAAAGACTTGTTGGAATTGGGGCACCCTTGGGGATTAGTCTTAAAGTTAGGAAATGGTGGTCAGAAATTTAGATTATGGAGAGGTTGCATTTACCAGTAATGACAAGGCTTAACATATAATCATAGGTGTAAGTGGTTGGAGTAGAATAGAGAACATTCAGAGAAAAGGTTGAAAATCTATAGGGAATGTTGCTGATGGCTGTTTGTGAATTTGAGTACAAAGTAGGAGTTTTCAGGGTTTGGGAACAGGTGGGAGATGGGATCAGAGTACCCTCTACCTCTTAATCCCCAGTGCTTAGAACAGAGCCCAGCTCATAACATGTAACAGATGGAATGAATGTTATTGGAGTGACAGAATATGTAAACTATTTTCTGTTGCTTATGTATACATTGGTTTATTAAAGGAAATGTGACATTAGGAATACAGTCAGAGGACTCATGAGAATCAGATCTTAGTGGACTGTTATACTCCTCCTGAGAAATCCAGGCTGCCATCTGGAAGGTGTGAGCTTTTAGGCAGCTGTATACACACAGCTGATTCAGCCAAAATGAGTGACTAATCCATATTTGCAATTGGATTTATATGTATTATTTTCACTTACTGTGGAATTAATTTATTGAGTAATCTAAGTAGAATAATATCATTCCTCAGAATGTTAATGCCAATCTCTCTCGCACTGTGCGTACTGTACACTTTTAACATTTTAATTACCAACTCCTCTAAAATAAGCAAGTTTCTGGCCTGGCATGGTAGCTCATGCTTGTAATCCCAGCACTTTGGGAGGCCGAGGTGGGCGGATCACATGAAGCCAGGAGTTCAAGACCAGCCTGGCCAACATGGGGAAACCTTGTCCTTACTAAAAATACAAAAATTAGCTGGGTGTGGTGGCAGACTCCTGTAATCCCAGCCACTTGGGAGACTGAGGCACAAGAATCACTTCAACCCAGGAGGCGGAGGTTGAAGTGAGCTGAGATCACACCACTGCACTCCAGCCTGGGAGACAGAGTGAGACTGTCTCCAAACCAATAAATACATACATATGTACATACGTACACAAGTTTATTATTGACAACTTGATTGGATATCCTTCCATGTGAATTTTCCGTGACCAGCACTACCAGGGACTATACCTGGAGCTGGCTAGATTTGGTTATTTCCCAGTGTCTACCCCTTAGTTACTGGTAGGCAGAGGAGTCACTAAACTTTGATATATACCATCAGTTTTTCCCCTTATATTCTCTTATAGAAGCATTGATAAGAAATTACATTATTATGTATAAAATTAAACCTGTAGGTCATTCAATTTCCAATAAATTATCAGTATGTACCAAAACTTTAGGGTAGAATTCTCATATTGGTTTGATCATCAGGAATCATTTTCAAATCTTAAAATTATATTAAAAACCCAAGTGTGGATTTGCTCACTTCATTCATTTAGCAGATTTACCCATATGCTGTGGCAATGATAATGGATAGAAACAGATGTGGTACATAATCTTAGGAAGCCTACAGTCTGGTAAGGGAGATACATGTTAATCACACACAAAAAAAGTGAAATTAAAACTAATAAGAGTTTCAGAATAAAAGTATTTAGCGCTATTCTGGAAGGAATTGGCCTAATCATGGAGATGAGAAACCTTCTTGGAAGTCAATGATGCTCCTTTGAAAAAGTCATAACTGAGCTAAGATAAAGGAGAAGAGGAAGCATTAACCAGGAAAAGAGGATAGGGAGCATAGCATATGCCAAGATCTTGTGGAGAGAAAGAAGGCAGAGTTTGAGGAAACAAAGACCAATACAGTGTGTGGCAGGGAGTCTAGTGCAACATGAGGCTGGAAAACATAGCACCATAGGGATTTCTGTCATTATATCAAGAGCAATGGGAAGCCATTGAAATATTTTAAGTATGGGAATTGTGATGGATGTATGTTTTCAAAATCTGTCTGGCTGCCATAGGAGGCAAGAGTAGACTGAATGCCCTTAAAAGGCCATTGTAGTAGTCCTCGTAGGAGCTGTTGGTAGCTTGGATGAAGGAGGGAAGAAATAGAAGTGGATGAAACTGCACAATTGTGTAAGGGGAACAATGTTAAGGCTTGATGCTGGGTTGGATAATGGGGGATGAGAGACAGGGATGCCTGCTAAGTTTCTGGCTTGCCCAACAAGATTGATGGAGGTACCATGCACTGAGCAAGAGAACTGTGGACAAGGAACCTCTTTGGAGGGGAGTTTTATTTTCATTCATTCAATTCAATATTTAATAGGCTCTTCACAAGTGCCAGGCACTGTTCTAGGATCTGGGGATTCATTAATAAGTCAAAATCCCTGCCTTCATGAAGCTTACATTTTCATTGGGAGGAATAGACAATTTTTAAAGAAAATAATTTAACATAGTAGTAAGCACTGTGAATTAAATAAAACTACAGATCTCTAAGGGATGGGTAAGACAGCTTTAGTTTGGGCCATCAGGACAGGCACCTCTAAGGAGATGACATTTTAACTGAGACCTGACTGATGAGGAAGGTGCCCATGCAGATACCTGGGGCAGA